CTACTGCTCTGCCCAGTTCCTGCAAACTCATATTTGTGGTCTCTTTAACAAAGTCTATCCATCTGCATGTGGCCTTCTTCTCTTTCTACTTTCCTCCACCTTTCCTAACATCATTGTCTTTTCCAAAGGTTCATGGCTTCTCGTGATGTATCCAAAGTATGACAGTCTAAGGGGCTGAACAGACCACCCCCAATCTGGTGCATTGCTGCTCCAAAAAGAACCAGCAAAAACAGACCACCCCCAATCTGGTGCATTGCTGCTCCAAAAAGAACCGCTCCGTTTTAGAGTGGCAAAAAGCTGCTCTTGCAGTGGCTGCAGCTTTTTGGCGTTCCTCTGGCACAGCGCATCTAAATGCTGCTCCAAAGACACACCCTTTCGCCACCCACCATTTGGTCAGATGGTTGGTGTGATAGTGGCATGGGGAAGAGTCGGGGCAGCTGGCATGCAGTTGCTATGCCCTCACTCCACCCCCAGGCTGGCCTAAAGTGTTGCTCTGTACAGTCCCTAAGTCTTATCTTGGCTTCTAGGGATATTTCTGGCTTGATTTGCTCTAGGACCCATTTGTTTGTCCTTTTGACTGTTCATGGGATCCTCAGCACTCTTCTCCAGTATCACATCTCAAATGCGTTGATTTTCCTCCTATCTTCTTTCTTGATTGTCCAGCTCTCACATTCATACATGGTAATAGAGAATACAATGGCTTGTATGATTCTGATTTTTATGTTTTATGTATGTTTTTGCATTTTAAGATCTTTTCTAGTTCTTTCATAGCCGCCCTACCCATTCTTAATCTTGTTCTGATTTCCTGGTTGCAGTTCCCATTTCTAGCAATGTTTGATCCCAGGTATGAGAGCTCTTTTACAATTTCTATTTCCTCATTGTCTCTGTGTAAGCCTGCCTTTGCACTTTCTTCTTTGATCTTCCTTAGTAGTTGTTCCAGGTCTGTGAGGTTCTCTGCTAGTACTATGGTGTTGCCAGCATATCTCAGATTGTTGATATTTCTTCCTCCTATTTTTACTCCTCTCTATTTCATGTCCAAGCCTGCTTTCCTTAAAATATGTTCTGCATATAAGTTGAATAGGTAGGGTGATAAGATGCAGCTTTGTCTGACTCCTTTGCTAATTGAGAACCATTCTGTTTCTCCATGTTCTGTCCTGACAGTAGCCTCTTGTCCTGAGTACAGATTCCTCATCAGGACTATCAGGTATGTTGACACTCCTATGTCTTTATGCAATCAAAGACTTTACTGTAGTACATAAAGCACATTCAGATTTTTTTTGGAACTCCCTACTATGCTCCATTAGCCATTGTATATTTTGAAAATGATCCTTGGTGCCTCTTCCTTTCTTGAACCCCACTTGGACCTCTGGGATTTCCTTCTCCATGTATGGTTGGAATCTATGTTGAAGAATTTTAAGCATGATTTTACTTGCATGGGAGATTAGCGCTGTGGTTCTATAGTTGCTGCAGTCTCTTGGGTCTCCCTTTTTGTGGATAGGGATGTATATTGATCACTTCCAATCTGTTGGCCATCATTTTGTTTTTCATATCTGTTGACATATGTTGGTTAGCATTAGTTGACTTTGTCAATGTGGATTGCAACAGTTCTATTGGAATATCATCTGTTCCTGGAGTCTTGTTTTTGCCATTTCCTTTATTGCAGCTTCTACCTCAAGTTTTTAGAATTTGGGAACCTGAATGACTAAGGAATGTAAAAATAGGCTGGGGAGTACATAGAGCCCTAGATCTCAACTTTGATCATCCCTAAACACAAACTCTGTAGACTAGTATGCAAAGGAATCTTGTTGCACTTTTGTGACATAGAGAAAGAAGCTTGTAGCATAAGCTTCCATAGACTGGGCCTGCTTCTTCAGATACATCTGATGAAGCAGACAGAGACTATAAGCTTTTTTTCCTCAGCCTCAAAGCTACAAGATTCTTTTGCATACTGAATCAGGCTAACACGACAATGTCTTTGAAAACTATTCTCTGTAAATTAGTTTAACATACAAACACACCTTTAATATGCATTTCCTTTAAATGCAAAACCATAAGAACTAGTACAAAGTGTAAAGCTTTCTGTTTACATCCAGTTCTGTATTAAAGGACACAGGAGCTTTGTACTGGATCATCATTTGGACTTACCCACTGTGTATTCTACAGGTTTCCTTTTTTTGTCTTGTCATGAACTTCAGGGATCTGTTGAAAGCTGCTGCTTGGTCTTAAGCCATAGAATTTTAAGTCAGAACCACAGAATCACAGAATCATAGAAACCACAAGGGTCATCTAGTCCAATGTCCTGCCATGTAGGAATATACAATCAAAGCAGTTCCATCACATGGCCATCCACTCTCTGTTTAAAAATCTCCAAAGAAGAAGACTCCACCACACTCTGAGGCAGCATATTCCATTGTCAACAGCTCTTACCACCAGGAAGTTATTCCTAATGTTTAGGTGGAATCTCTTTTCCTCCATGTATCCATCCACTCTTGTGTGAAAGAACACTTTCAGTTAAACTCTGCTGTAGCAACAGAGTCTCATTACACAGTTACAGTGCTATGACTGCACTTTAACTACCATGGATGCATCCTATGGAATCCTGGATATTGTAGTTTGGTGAGACACCAGAACTCCTTGGCTGAAAAATCTAAAGTAGTACTAGTAGTAGCAGTAGTAGTTTTGTGCCTTCAAGTAGTTCTGACTTACGGCAACCCTGAGGTGAACCTATCACAGGTTTTCTTGGCAAGTTTCTTCAGAGGGGATTTGCCATTGCCATTCTCTGAAGCTGAGAAAGTGTGACTTGCTAAAGGTCACCCAGTGGGTTTATATGACTGAGCTGGGATTTGAACCCTGGTCTCCGGAGTCTTAGTCCAATGCTCAAACCACTGCACCACACTAGTGAGAAATGTAAATACCCTTGCCTAAACTGCAAATCCCAGGATTTCTTGGGATGGACCCACAGCAGTGGAATCATACCACTATTACAGTAGAGCCCTGGTGGTGCAGTGGTTAAATGCCAGTACTGCAGCCACAATGTTGTAAGTTTGATCCTAGAGAAAGGTTCTAAGGTGCACTCAGCCTTCCATCCTTTTGTAGATCGATAAAATGAGTACCCAGCTTGTTGGGGGCAATTGGCTTACAGACTGTAAACTGCTTAAGGAGTGCTAGTTTACTGATATGCTGTATAGAAATTTACTTGCTATTGCTATAACTGTAGTACAAAAGGGCCCGAGGTCTTCCTTAGTTCTTGTGTGTCCTTGTGTTCTTTGCTGGCCCTTACTCCTGATTTTTGGCTTTCTTTTACATCTTGCTTCCTTGATTGTCTTTATACTTCCTCTTTCATCCTGATCGCTGGACTTGTACCAGAGCTCCTGGTCTCCAACACCTGGTTTCACTCAGACTGCTGTTTATTATTTTATTCATCATTTGTTTATTTACTTAAAGTATTCATATCCCAACCTTCAGTGAAGAAATGTAATTGGGCAGTGCAGATATACAAGTACTAGGGATATGAAGAATATCAGCCAAATTACTTATTCTTTATGAGAAGGGTGAACAATCAATTGAAGCTGAAATAACCCACTCCCTTCAGGTGAAGGGCTCTCCCAACATGTCCCAGCCTAGATAGGACACTTGTTAATACCCTTCCTGTCTAAGGAGAGCCTGTGATCAGCAAGAACACTTATGTATATATTAGCCTGCAGATGAAGAAGATCAAATTCCCAGTTGAGACAGGAAAGGTCTGAGTTGGGAAGAGATTGATAAAGCTCTTTATCCAAGATCATACTGTCACTTGGTAAGACATGGGAGCTTGGTTATCTTCAGAGCTTGCAAAAACTATTTTTTCCAGATCTTAACCCCAATCAGAATAACCATTAGCTATGTTGGCTGGAGGATTCTGTGCATTTGTTAGCAAAATATCTTGGCCATCTCTCTCTCTCTCTCTCTCTGTGTCTTCAAATCACTTGCCAACTTAGGGTGATGCCATGAATTTCATAGAATTTTTTTAGGCAAGGAATACTCAGAGGTGTAGCAGTGGCTATATGCATTCTGGGAAATGATGTGTAAACACTGTCTAACCATGTACTGTACCACAATGTATGTGCACATTCAAGTTTGTAGACACAAAATTATGACATGCAGCAGCAACAGTGAGGAATCAAATGTTGTACAAAGATTAAATATGACCATATACCTTCATCCCTTGTCATCCTTGCATTTTGCCCTGCTCTTTTGTCTCCCACACGTCCACTATTAGTTATTAGCGGCAGACTCTTGTCATTTTGTTCACACTGTTTGAGGAAGCAACCATAGCATGTCTGTATTCAGTAGTTCATAGTTTGCATGTTTCTCCAAGAATTTAGGCACAACATATATTGATGCCATTTCTTGTTGGTCTTAGCCATACTCTTCTTCATGCATCAGTCAGTTTGCTGTTAGTCTGAGTTTGTTTGTTCTCCATTTTGTATAAATGTCTCTCTTTCTCTTCCATGTTTGAAGAGCACATGGTACAGAGCCTGTCACCTTGAGATGTTATGAAACCTTTAGTATTTGTAAGTAAACTTACTTCATATGTTTTTGCAAAGGGCCTGTTTTATTTCTCTGCCAGACCCTCTATGTGTGGGGCAATAGCATAGGATTGGTTGTTGCTCACCTTCTGCTTGTGAATGTGAATTACTATGCTTGAAATACACACTACTACATCTCATCTTCCTCAACACATATAACTATGTAAAGAATCATGTGCACTGTTGGAGCTGTATGTAAATCAACATAAGAATAGGGAAGGTCTATATGTCAATGGTAAATCTCATGTTTTGCATTCAGAATGGCCCATGCCATGGAATATTCATTCATCAAAGTGCTACAGATCAGAGTGCTGGGAAATGAGGACTGTAGTACTCTCCTGGTTGGAGGATACATTGAGACAGGCAACTGGAGAGATTCCTTGAGGTTCTTGTCTCATGAACCCCACAACTGGGAGAGGGGTGCAGTTATCATTCCCCAAAGCCCCAATCTACAGTGCCTTAGGAACCCTTTGGTTGGGGCACTGCCCAGCTTGATAAGTAGGTTTTTGGGCATTGTGTTTAGTCATTAACAATGATAAACATGAACCTCAAAAATTACAAGATAATAAGAGTGGCATATGACCTTTTAAATATTGAATAGGATGCACACCAGTCCAGGAGCAATGAAGGTTTTGTATCTTTACTGGGATCTTCACTGGGATGTTAAGGGAATAGATATAATTTCTTGAATCTGGACACCAATTTTCTATGGAGCAGGCTAGCACACAGGATGCTTGACTCTGGTTCACATAGAGCTGAATATTTTCAAGTATAGTCTGACTGTGACCTGATCTTTGCTAGCAAGCTTTAGCCAGTGGCCTCAAATGCTTTAAAGCTTTTGTTAGGTACCTCCTATATCCTTTGTCTCTGGTACTCTATCACTCTGTCAGTGACACAGGCTAGAGGCTCTTTTTGATTACACTCTCCTGCTGATTGAGGTATTGTCTTTAAAGATGTTACAATCTTTGAGTAAAAAGGAGGGGAAATCTTATTATGTTATCTTGTGCCACACCTGAAGAGTACACACTTTGAAAGAGTACAATATATCTCAAGGGAATAAAACAGTGCTTGTCCTTTCCTTATATTGAAGGAAATCAGGGAAAAAAAAGCATACTTTTAGAAGAAAACATTACATAATACCTGACAATGAAATTAATTCTAATATTGGGGCAAAACACCCCAGAACCTTGGTTAAGGAGGAGAATTAAGGTATTTACAGTGGTAGCCATGTAAATTATACGGCAAAGTATAATAACATCCAAAATCCAGAAAACAGTGATATCTTTATTGGACCAACAAAAATGCCCAAAATACATGGTGAAAGCTTTTGAAGCTTCATTGGCTTCTTTATCAGGCAAAGGTGTTACAAATCATAAAGTGGGGTGGTGGTGGCAATGTTACAGTCATAGGCCTGCATTTGTCTAGATGCTCTTGTTCTCAGTTAAGATAGTATGAAGGGATATCCATGCAGGCAGAGGCCATTCTTTTTGGCCATGTGGGTTCTGAGAGACTATTAGTTAATTAATTGATTATAAATTATTTATTTATTTAATATTTTATCCCACTTTTCTCCCATAAAGCAGACAAAGTGGTTCACACCCTACATTAAAAAAAAAAACACAGCTAAAGACATTCTGAAGTACAAAACATAAACAACTTAGAAACATTTGTTTAAAACACAGTTGTTAAAAACACATTAAAACCTGTCCATTACATTACCTCAACCAGTTAAAAACTGAAGGCCTATTTAAATAGAAAGATCTTGCTCTGCCAAAGAAAGGAGAGCAAGGAAGGGGCTGACTGAGCCTCCCTTGGCAGAGAGTTCCATAGCCTGGGAGCAGCCACTGAGACAGCTTTCTCTCAGGTCCTTACCAACCATACCTATGAAGGTGTTGAGAACAAGAGAAAGTCCTTCTCTGAAGATTTTAAAATGTGGGTTGTTGTTGTTGTTGTTGTTAGTTGCCCTCGAGTTGGTTCCAACTTATGGTGACCCTGTGGATGAGACATCTCCAAGAATCCC